AGTTAATCAGACAGCTATACAGTGAAATATTTAAAGCGATATACAGAGTGTGTTCGATTCGCGAGCTATAGTTTTGAGTTAGTGATTATTATAGTTGGTATTTGGGAGTTCAATAAATTGTTGTGTTATTTTATTTGCTTACTGGAATCATTCGAACCCCGGGAAACGTAACAATACCCTATATATTTTAAGACATACGAATAGGACTTTTTTTTCTGATTTCAAAAATATATATTTTGCCTATATTTGTATTAACCGTTTTTTCTATATTACATTTTTACAAAAATTAAAATAGCAACAAATCGAAATAGCCTTGAAATCTGACAATGCACTTCCGTCACCCCATAATGCTCGCCAGGTAGATATGTGGATGTGGAAGAGCATACATCGGCACCACAAAACGAAGCATAAACACTACGATCACGGAGCACAAACGAAGTTGCAGATTGGGACAAACGGAAAAATCAGCAGTAGCGGAGCACGCACTACTAGACGGCCACCAAATACGCTTCAACGAAGTTGACATTCTGCACCAATCTGAAAGATACTACCCTAGACTCACCAGAGAGGCCATCAAAATATTAAAACACCAAAACAATTTTAACAGAAAAGAAGAAATTACGGCACTCAATCCAGATTGGAAGCGCATTTTGCGCCAAACAGCATGTGCGCCAAAGCGTTGGAACCCCCACCCATCCCCCACGCATGAGCACACACGGCTGGGCTGCATAAAATACGACGGGGAATCCAGCAGTTGAATATGTATGAAGTATGCTGTCAGGTAAGCTCTGCCTACGAACTAAGGCCAGAGTTTACAAGCAACTGATACGCGCGGTGCTGACCTATGGATCTCCTGCATGGTCCATAGCCAGCAACCCGCAAAAGCAAAAACTGGCAGTATTCCAGAATAGAATACTGAGGATAGTGACCCATACTTCGTCAGAAACACCACCCTGCGAAGAGACCTGGATACAGAGGACCTGCTGGACCACATCCGGAACCTAACGTCAGGGTTCCTGGATAGGATCCGGCACAGCAATAATCCCACCGTCAGGGTTTCTTGCACCAAGAAGTTCAATTGTGACCGCAGACTAGAGTCTAAGAAGAAGACGTGGACCCCATGCGATGACCAGTTCCTGCACCACATCGAGGACCATGGGCTAACTTTAAGTTAGTTATAGGAAGCAAGAGAGGCTGTTAGGTTTAGGTTTAGATTAGGTACTTAGGTTAATTTAGATTTAGTCATATGATGATATCTTAAGATACACAGAGTGTTAGACACTCTAGCGATGTTAGCACTAAGGATCCGTAGATCATGGTGAATATGATTAGTATGATTATGATTAGAAATGGAGCAGTTGAATCAGTCTTAGTCGGAAAGCACGGGAGATCACTTCGCCCACTGCCTCATCGCCTTTGAAAATGTCCACCGCAGTTGTGGACGAAACG